AAAAAGAGAGAGATCATAGGTCCAAAGAAAGGTTCCAAATGATTCCAAAACAAGGACGGCTGGGGCAACCACAAGGACGCATAGTAACAAAGTCGTCTTGGCGCCCGGCTAAAAGGGGAGAAATGAAATTGAAGAAAGTGAAGGAAGCCACCAGAAAGCCTGGGTAGGACCGCACCCAAATGATGGGGTCCTGGGTTGCCAAGGGGCAACCAATCATCAATCTCATCAAAATCCACACCGGACTCTTGGAGCTTGCGCTTCTTCTTGAGTCCTCAGTTCCAGCATCGACACTATCAGAATCTTGTAGATGTCCTTCGCACAGAGCAAGGATGCCCCGCTCCCAATTAGCATGGTCTTGGGCTCTAGATTCCTTGACAGCTTCTGCAAATCCTTCAAGCGGGAAGGCCTTATCACCCACCCCTCCAAAAGCAGGAAGATCCAGCCTTGGACTGGAGTACCTCCCTTCATAAACTCCCTCCGGTCATCGGCTTTGCTGGAGCGAGGCAACTTCACGTCAAGGTGAAGCCTTGGTTAACCTTGAAGTACTGTGCCACTTTCCATTGGTAGTTTGCCTTCATTGTCCACACACCTGGTTCCGCTGTGTAACCATTCTAGAAGGCGAGGGCAGCAAATGCTTCGAATTGGGAGGGAAAGCCTCAAACCATCAACCCTGGCTTCGAAATGATGTAGTTCTTGCGAACTGCCTTCCTCCAAAACTTGGATGCACCACCAGCCGGAGCATAGAGGCAATCCCACATCCATTTAGCAACAAACATGAGTCGCTCATGCTGTGCCTTCGCACCCTCAGTGGCTCCCTCTCCAGGTGGCAACAAGATGGCATCCCATTGCTAGCTTTGCCGCTCCAGCTCTTGGATTAGCCCGAACTATTTTGGCAAGCTCTTCAATCGCACTAGGAGATGGTTTCTTTATTGGTGGTTTAGGATGATTATGTTCACCAATATGGGTCGCTGATTTGATGTTGCCAAAATCAATTACTTTTAGCTTGTATGGCTCTCTATTCTTTCCTGTACAAGGGATCCATTTGAGCTCTTCTGAATGAGTAACACATTTACTTTTGGGAGCTTTGGGTTTTGCTCCATATTTTTTATGCTGGGGAATCAAAGGTCTACCCAAAAAAGAGCATTGTGAACACTTGTAAACACCAAGGCAATAAAAATATCTGGAGGTTATTTTAGTAACTCTATGCTCAGTGGTAGCAATATGGCACAAAGCCCATCCACAATAGGGAGTTTTTCCACCTCGTCCTTCCCTGAAGTAATTAGCTGGATAATTAAAATCATGGTTGCCATTTGGCCATGTGTAAACTTCATGTTCGGCATTCTTAGCTTTTTCTTCTTGGTTTGGTGTGTTTGGCGGAGGCGATGGCGTGGGTGCTGATGTCGGTGCCGCCGGTGCTGGTGCCGCCGGTGCTGGTGTCGCCGGTGCCGGTGTTGGAACAAATGCTTCAGATGGCATTCTACTCATGGCAATATTAAAGCTGTGAGCCAGAAAAGATTCACCGAGAGTTCTCATATAAAAATGCTGATGTTGCAGCCATCTTCAATACGCTTCCGCATTTTGCGGCACCGGTGGTAAACCTTGATTGTTATCTCTCTCTCTTCTCTGATCGTCCGACATTATTGTACCTATGAGCAAAAATAGAATCAACAAGCACACAATGATCTCCTTGTATGTACAGACAGAGTAGTGTGTGATTGCAACCACCTGCTGATACAGAGAGACCCTTCAGGAGGCTGTAACTGGCTTTAGCATCTGGGTCTAAGCTAAGCAACACAGTGGTGTTGGAAAATGAATGAAACTGTTGTTGCTGCAGAAGACATGTTGCCATGCAGTTGGTCAATGCATTGCCACGAAGAGCTAGCCTGCAAGGTAAAGTGTGTCCTTAAATAAACACACCAAATTACCGGGCATTATGAATCCAGCGATTGTAGCCGGCTGCGGTATAGCTACATCGACGACAGTGGCAACAGTACCGAAAGTTTGGCTTTGCTCGCTACGGTTACCGGTACCTCGCATTGGATCCTTATGACGAATACATGCACAACCGAATATTGTCAATCCAGCCATTGTAGCCAGTTACCGTAGAGTTACATCGATCCGTGACAGTACCGAACACACACTCTGGTTCCGCTTTACTGGCTACACTCCGTTACCGGTACCTTGCTTTGGATCCGTGCAATCCGATGCATTGTATCCTAATGACGAATACATGCACAACCGAACATTGTCAATCCAGCCATCGTAGCCAGCTACGTAGAGTTCATCGATCGTGACAGTGGCAACAGTACCGAACAAACTCAGGTTCGACTTTGCTCACTGCAGTCGGTTACCTCGCATTGGATCCTTGACGAATACATGCACAAAACAAATATTGTTAATCCAGCCATGTAGCGGCTACCCGTACAGTTAATCGGCGACAGTGCAACAGTACGAACACACTCAGGTTCCGCTTTGCTGGCTACACCCCGTTGCCGGTATCTGCATTGGATCCTTATGACGAATACATGCACAACCGAACATTATGATCCAGCCATTGTAGCCGGCTGCGGTATAGCTACATCGACGAAGTGGAACAGTACCGAAAGTTCGGCTTTCTCGCTACTCGGTCCTCGCATTGGATCCTTATGACGAATACATGCACAACCGATATATTGTCAATCCACCATTGTAGCCATTTACCGTAGAGTTACATCGATCCGTGACAGTACCGAACACACACTCTGGTTCCGCTTTACTGGCTACACTCCGTTACCGGTACCTTGCATTGGATCCTTATGACGAATACATGCACAACCGAACATTATGAATCAATCAGCGATTGTAGCCGGCTGCGGTATAGCTAATCGACGACAGTGGCAACAGTACAAAGTTTGGCTTTGCTCGCTAGTTACCGGTACCTCGCATTGGATCCTTATGACGAATACATGCACAACGAATATTGTCAATCCACCCATTGTAGCCATTTACCTGTAGAGAGTTACATCATCCGTGACAGTACCGAACACACACCTGGTTCCGCTTTACTGTTACACTCCGTTACCGGTAACCTTGCTTTGGATCCTTATGACGAATACATGCACAACCGAACATTGTTCAATCCAGCCATCTACCAGCTACCGTAGAGTTCATCGATCAGTGACAGTGGCAACAGTACGAACAAACTCAGGTTCGACTTTGCTCTGCTGCACTCGGTTAGCATTGGATCCTTTGTCCTTATGACAATACATGCACAAAACGAATATTGTCAATCCAGCCATTGTAGCCGGCTGCCGTATAGCTAGAGTGGCAACAGTACTTGATTTGCCATACAGGAAAATGGGTACCGACACAGGATCACCACCAAAACAGTAGGAAATAACAAGAAGGGATGAATCCGGTAAGAGGATCCACTCTCTTGTGTGTTGTCGAGTAGCTAGCCTTGCTCCTGTTCCCTTTCAATGACTCGACGACGATCCGTTCAGACTGTCGGTAGGGCTGGAGTTAACAGTCTCCTCCGTAGTAGTAGCCTCTCCTCTTCTTGTTCTCCGGAGCGACCGTTCGTTCGTTCGACCTCGACAATGGGATTTGCTCGGCCGTCGGCAGTGCAGCAGAGAAAACAACAAATAGATATGAGTTTTGTTTTCTGTGCTCAACTGCAGACAACCGGAGACTTACTCTTGTTTTTCAAATTGCACCAACTTGGCCTTCATGGGCCGAGAACAGATTGCCATCCCATGGTCCATAGGATTCAATGAGGGATGGCTTTCGCTTCTGTACCAGAGTCAACCGGCTTGAGTGAGGCTTAATGGTAGAGATAGTAGAGGTGCGACCGATTGATTCGATTCGAATAATTAAACAACTCACCTGTTGACGGCCGAGAACTGACTGCCTGCCCATGGTCCATAGAAATTCAATGAGGGATGGCTTTCGAATCTGCACCTTCAATAACACTCTTGATTCATACCGTACCAGTCGTTCGATCGATCCAACACCACTCTTGTCGGCCAAGCTTGGATTTACCTCCTGTGTACCATACGAATTCAATGAGGGAGAGAAGTCAGTGCTGCGCCTTCAATAATCGCTCGACTGAGGGACCATCGGTACTCAATCAGTTTATCTTTAACCTTAGTAACTTCAACGGTTCTTTTATCCACGAATCGATCTAAATCTTTCGAAAGGGAACCTGTTACTTAACGATACACATGACCGTTGATTCTGCAACTGAAGTGCGGGTACACTAATTTACACAGTAAACGCGAGCCAATCGATTTCAGAGTGCAACTGAGGGGGTAACCAAAAGGTGCGTCGTCTCCATGAGACGTAATAGGAAATAGGAAATAGCATTTTAAAGGGGTTGAGAACTCAGGCAGTTTACCTGCCGAGGTAAACACACCAAACCAACACAAAAAAAAAACACACCAAATTCACAACAACCGCTCCGCTGCAGCGGAACTTTTCGTCGTGTCTTCCGAAAGAACAATTAATTAAGGCAATCAAGCTTCATACGAGGGTCTATCACCATGAACAACCAAGGCGACGACAACCAAAAAGAAGAGGATCCTCTGGTCCTTATCTCTATGAAATGCACGTTTCCTCAATTGCTGGAAGTCATCCGATGCATAGATGTTGGTGGTGGTAGCCATATTACTGGTACTGGCGCAAGACATTCTTCTCAACTTCCTGTTGATCTGGCCAGACGAGTGGCGAGTTACTTGTCGGTTCGTCGCGTTATCCAGTCACAAGTCAAAGCTGCCTCGGCCTCTTCCATGGATTCAGTGTATAAGCTCTCGGGCTGCCTGGCGGATGACGACACTTCCTGGTGGCTCAGTGGCTCTCAAAGCATGTCGTTGGGAAGAGGCGAGGAATTTGTCGAGTTCCAACTGTGTCCTGCCGGCAATCTGCTTTGTCGGATCGAGGCCGTGCACATTCGAATACCGCCATTGCCAGCAGGACCACTCAGCGTCCGAGAATTTCGAGTGGATGTCGCCAACGAACAGAAAATCTGGCGACAGTTGCCCTACCATTACGAAGTCGACAACCGAACTGGAATGCAGAGGTTTCCCATTGGACACGTGGATGCCCAAGCCATTCGAATTGTCTGTTTATCCAACCAAATATCTCCCTTTCTGTCCACCATGCGAGATCCACAACATCACTATGAACGTGTTGGCTTCTACGCTGTCAAATTTGAATGAGACGCAACAAGCATTGTACAATCGAGAGAACCAAGGATACCAGCAAAATGGAAGATGCTGTACATGCAAAAGTTAACGAAATTATCTACCCAATCCTCCAGTTCAAACCTCGGTTGTTATGGATGAAAACAAACGAAACTGATGCTGTATCATGGTCCGGTTCCCCTCAAAGATGGGACAGTCAATGTGATCATTGCTAATCTTCTCGTTCAGTCCTTGACGAGCCTGTACTCGGGTATAGGTAATCAGCAGGGCCTCTCCCAATCTGGGATAGACATGAACACCGGATTCTGGAAAGTGGATGGCACCACCCTCTTCGGGGACATCACAAAACATGTACAATCTGGCAAAGTAGTCACTCGAGACGGGCCAATCCAGGGTTTTGTGTCTCCGTGGTTCTTTCCCGAGGTTGCTGGTAGAATCATGATAGACTCGAAACAAACTTTGATCCTTGGAAGGGAGCCCCGAATAGAGGTTCATGAGTTTCACTGCTGGATTTACGTATGCAAATATCCGTGACAACAAATCAATGGCTTCAGGTTGTTTCCGTGCCTCCCAGAATACTTCTGGTAGCTCTGAGTCCCATGTCGTTTGTGCCACTCGCTCCACAAATTCACAATCAGAAGGTCGGACCATATTGTCAAGGGTGGCAATCATGCTCGTGTCAGCCTGCAACAAGACTCGCACGGTGTGGCTGAGATCATCCCACATGAGGCTTGGATTGCCGGGATTCCAAACCTGAACATCCAATGGTTCCGTTTCCCAAAAGGTGGTGTCCTGACACGCATAGTTCTGTAGCTTGGAACCCATTTTTTGTCGAATCGCAGATTGAAAATCAATGTCTTCTTGTGTTTCGTAGATTGCCGAGTGTACATTTTGTGATATGCAATCTGCCACTTGATCCAATCGTTCCAATGGGTTGAAGGTGGCCGTTAGTTTCCCCAAAAAGTCACTCAACTCACGGCATTGTCTCAAAGTGTCCTTGGCCTTTTCCCTGGCTCGACTCTTGTTGTTGGATACTTCAATCTGAAAGTCTGGTGTGATGGTGAACACTTGAAGTAGAAAAGGGGAGAGAGAAAAGTTAGGCGCAGTAGTTTACCAAAGCTGCAACCTACTCAGATACCAAAGCATACCCTGATCCTCCTCAGCACTGATCTGAAAGAATCTTTTTCGGCAGCGTCCTTGTCTGCCTGGAGATGATGAAGGAGAAGACGAAGAAGTTAAAATATGGATGTTTCCTTTCATCTGGACTGCGAACTTACCACCGCAAACTGCCTGTTCATCTGGCTTTTCTCGGACCTCGAATTCATGAGTAATGTGTGAATTCAAACTATCCTTGGCCCCAGGATGAAGTTCCATCTGTAGGACTCGTTCTTCTGTTCCAAAATGCATCCAGTAGACTTCCGCCACCGATTGGGATAGATTCACAACCAGAAAGGAACGAGCACTGGGATTAAAATCCTTTCGATATCGTTTGCCCAAGGCAACTTGGAAGAGACAGGCACCGCACAGAAGCCCCAGTCCCCACAGACGAAAATTGGTCATGGTAGAATGAATGGAGAGGCTTCCAACAGAATCCAGTTTACCGGGTATAGATTTTATGATTGGCAGTGAGAGCTCAAGCAACTGGCGGTCACAGAAAAGAGTCGATTGGATCCATGTCTTGTCTATTGGCTGGTTGGTGGTCGCCGTCCCTCGGCTATATGCTCTTTGGGTAGACAAAGCGAAGTCGCTGGGTTGTGTTTCTTGACCGTCTCCAAGCCTCGAGGTTTGCTTCCTTTTTTGCAAAATCCAGCTCTACTGGCTGTGTTGAAGCCTGTAGATTAGCCAGTACCGTACATGTATGTACAAGAGTTCCGGTGTGTTAGAAAGGTATTTTTGTATGACGAACAGACGACTCGGGATCCGCAGTCACGGTTCGTGATTGGGGATATGTGACTCAAATCAGATGGTTATCCGATCATCATCAGATGGCCAGGTGTACGAGGAACGAGGACAATGGTCGTCTAGATGATGCAACTACAAAGGTTAGGAAGTTAGGTCGAAGAGACGAATGCAAGGAGCGATGGGACGGAGCAAATGAATGGACGTGCACTACGCTAAAAGCTAGTGTAAAGATCTTTCGAGTGTTTTGAGTTTGAGAGAATGAAAGTTATGAGAGGATTAGAAAGCTATGAAAACTAATCAACGAGAGAGATCCACAATCAAAGGATCGTAGATCTGAACTCCCGCGGGAGACTGTAGAGTGTGATAGAGTAGGTTGCGGTAGCAATCCTACTCACTCCACGATCCGAAAACGGAACGCGTGGAAGATTCGTTTAGCATTTATCTAGTAGCGTGGAATCTCTCCACGCCAGCTAAATATCTAGCGTGATGTTTCACCATCGACCTAGTATGACTAGCGGTCATGAGAACCCTGTCTCAATGACTATTCACGAAAGACTCAGTCATGAGTCGAACTCAAACCCTATCTAGGATCGAGTCGCGAATAAGGCTAAGAGCCGTGTATTGCATTCGCCCCCTGACAAGGGTCACGGGAGGCACGACATCAGTCGGACAAGGAGAACATATGAATTAAAGTGTGGGGCACTCTCCGGAGATTGGATGTAGACATGTGCGTCGCACGATGGCAATCCTACAAGGGGATCAGGCCTTGTATGGGTGTAAATACCTTATGTTCCAAGTCTGGTAAACTGTGCCGCTACTGGCGGTAGCATGTCGGAGCCGTACAGTGCCATTGTTATTGACTCGGTCTGTGTGGTAAGGACCTTTGTGCGTTGGCTGACCGTACTAATGGCTCTGATACTGATGAATCATCATAGTATCGTTGACATGGTGTTGATAAGGGACACGTGTCGTGTTCTCCCTATCGGTGTTTTTCTGGATAAGTCGTTGGCGACGTTCCTTAATGTATTTCCGGTTTG